CCTTTTTCCTCAAATTAATGCGGGTGAAACCGCGGGGGGGGGGGGGGGCTTTGGTTGTGACTTTGTGACACAACTGTAATAGTTAGACATATGGTATCGCGGACTTTTTGAAGATATTGATGTCCTCTATAAAACTTTAGAATGTCATTTTGCTCTGTACTGTCAATGACTAAAAAATTCAGTTCTGTAACTCAACAGAAGTTTACGACCCGGTGACATATGGACATGCAGGCGACAGAGTAACAGCAATAGGGTTCTATTTTTACCCTTTGGATATGGAACCCCAAAAACGGTAAGAATAGTGGCATACAAGAATTTCTTAGCCTAAGTCTATCCTTTAACCCCATGGAGATGTGGTAAACCATTTTATTTGATGTTGGGAAATGGTTACCCATACCGCCCCTGGGTGAGAGATGGGGTTATGTGGAACTCCTCCCCTCCAACCCTGAGCTGTATCCAACCTTATTTACTACAGATACCTATACACTAAAGAATAATTTTGTTTATCGGATAATTTAGTCTTCCGTCCGTATGCGGCGCACATCCTGCAACATAAGTTAGGTTTCAACTCGGCCACGACCTTGCTCCAATCGACGCGTCGAACGATAAAAACAAATGTGCTAGAATATTAGAAGCACGCCACGAAGCGAAGCCCACAGCGCCGGGGCTAGCGTAAAGCCCAAACTTGGTATACTTACTTTACCTTTTGACCCATCGCGGCGAATGCGCACAGGCCTGGCTGCGTTTATCGCTAAGCTAGAATTTTTAGTAATGCCAGCCCTGAAGGCTGCGATAATTTTCCCAGAGGGGCGCTCAAATTCGTGTGAAAAACACCGACGTGTTTTCCATTCCATTGCCATTCCTCTTTTAGCTCCGGTGATTATTTATTCTTACACATTACATATGCTTTACTATGAAAGCATATGATTAGTCATTGTGCGTAGGATTTTTTGTTTACATTTTGCTCTATAAAAGTAGACCCCAAGTAGACAGATTGTGGCTTATTAAAGGTCAAAGGTAATTTACAACCCTTCACCTACGTAAGTGTCCCGCAAATGGTGACCAAATATATCCCCTCGTGAACAAGTAACCTAACAAAAAGTTAACGGCCTTTTGCGACCAATACCTACTTACCTATTTATCACAAAACCTAGGTAGACTTTTTTGGAAATTAGAAATACAATAAGCGAACTACAAAATATACAAGGGCAAAAAAAACGAACTTCATAAAAACGTATAACCACTAATAACTTATAATTTAGTTAGTAGTTATAACCTTAATAATTTAGTTCTCTAGTGATTAAGATCATCGTCGACGTCCACTGCCTCGTCTAGGGAGTGTCTGCGTGCAGGATACACAACGTCCTGCGTTTTCCACATCCAGTGGGCCGCCGATTCCGTTGTCACCAGATAAGCAGGGCAAGCTTTTGTGAATTTGGCATTTAGATATCTTTGACTTATCTTTTTTAAGTCTATTTCCGCATGTTTTAAAAAACAGTTACTGATTTCAGCGGAAATTAAAAAAAAAGCAGCTTCAGCTTAAAAATAATTTGTAACTTAATTAATCAGTTTTTCATAAATTTCTCATAATTTTCGACAATTTCTCATATTCATTTATACAAAACCCTTATAGTTACTATACCTTCACGAAATGAGGTACGATTTTATGGAACAGAAAATTTCTTTCAGTTTGTGTAAAATGTTTCTTTATTTAGGTTTAAGTTTTAAAACTTCGCCGTCAATATGGTATTGTACAACTTTTTTTTAAGTCAATAGGTACCCACATAAGTTGCAAGTCCCTGGAGAAAAAATTATATTAACAGCGAATTTACGATAGCTAAGAATATTCGTGGTAAATGTTTTTTAGCTTAACTTTTGAAATTAGTTGAATACACTTTGAAACTTTCGCGTTGCATTATAAATAATATAACATTTAATACGCGCACGTAGGTATGGTATGGTATGGTATGGTAGTGATTCTCTGGCAGACTCCAAATTTTTATGTGATGCAGTGCACTTAATTGTAAATCATTTGACAAAAAACTAGAATTGATTTTATCCCCGTTTTTTATATAATTATTATAATATAAAATTATATAATCATAATCATAATCAAAATCATTTATTCAGTTTCTGTTCTGTTACAAGTACATATGAATGTCGAGAAGCTATGCTATTGGTTCGTAAATCTACGGCAGGAGACCTTGTACTGAGAAGAACCGGCAAGAAACTCAGCAAGGGCTGTTTTTTTCTCCCTGTTTTATTATTTACAGAGTCGTCAAGTTGAAAAATGACTTCAGAGATGATTCATGAAGTCACTTTTCAATACATAATGTGTAATTATACAATAATTGTTCACCTGCATTTTGATTGCTGTGTCACACAGTATAAATACAATTATTTATAATAGATGTAACTAAACATTTACATATTAAATATCAAAGTAGTTAAGGCAGACTCATCTCCGCTGCCCGTTCACGAGCATGACGCATGATTGATTTTTAATTTTTGGATAGATTTTTTTTGGTTAAATTAATATTATTATGAAAATTATAACAATTATTATTTATTAATATGCAAGAGGAATTTTCTATTGTTTCATTATTTAATTTAAACAGTAATTATTTAATTATTATTTAATAATTATACATATAAGTAATGATTGGCAGATGGCAAGATTATTTATCTGTTTTGTGTTGCCAAAGCATCAAGTACATATATTCTATTCAATAGGTGACTAAAGCAGTGATAATTGTTCTGTTCATCTTTCATTACATTATTAGGTTTTTGTGGGTATTTTATTTTAAGAAGAATCAATCACAAATAAGTTCACCACGATTTCATGAATATCATGCATGACTGGACTGATTGACATTTGCTGCCACACACTAAAAATATGACGTTACTTATGACAAATATAACATTATAAACATTGATGTTGGTACCTATGTACCTACCTACATCAATGTTTACAATGATTTTAGCGTAACAGTTTTGTTGTTATTATTAACTATATCATCGTTTATCATCAGTCGGGCCATATTATGCTTGTTTGTCACCTTTTTTACATAATAAAAATAAATTTCGTATTATATTAGTGGTCTTTAAAAAACTAACATCACAGAACAAGAGGTACAATCACGAAGATAGAACATCAGTATAAAATATCGAGATAAGATAGTAAGTACCTCCCTATCATGGATCATCGGAATCGACATGAGAATGCAATTTGCGATTTAATCAGTTGGCAACATTGATGTATAGGGAGTTTAAAAAATGGCTAATATTACTCATTCATAAATAAAGGTCGTCGCTGCGTTTCGTTTTTGTCTGCGGGAGTTATGGTGGGCGATCCGGCTGCCTATATAACGTAACCTTACATGCAAAAATGGAATGAATATTTTTTTCCTATTTGGACGTAAAGGTTAATTTTGTATTAAAGGACAATGAGCGAAACACACCCAGCTCCGCCATAATGTAATTAGTATGAATCGATAGATCTATGAAAAACTAGTTTTTTTTTATTATGACACCGTAATAAATATCCTGGTAGTCGAAAGATATAATACCGTAAAATATAACCTGTTAGTCAAAAGATATGACACATGGGCATATATAAGTAGCTAAATACATTAATTTTATAGTACCTTCATTTTATATTATTATTAACTATAATAATATGGCATATCGTACTATACAACCAGATATACGATAAAGCCTGCCGACCATCCCGCGTTTGCACTTACTGAGACACCTCGAAACGGTTTACGGGGGTTGAAGGACTTGCAGTTGCAAATAGTCGACTCGTCTTATTTCGTTGTGATTGTGCGCTTCCTGCCACTTGATTGATTTTTATTATATTTAGAACACATATTTTGTCTTTCTTTTCTTTTCATGGAAGATTGGACAAGTTTTACATAGAAGACAATTTACTATAACGAACAGAATGTTTGAAAAAACCCCAACCTATGCGGGGATTTTTTGATTTACTCTAACGCAGCAGAATAACATAAGGGGGCACCCTTGCACCTTGTGAAGTACTCCCATAATACCTGAGCCCGCTATGTAGGGTCGAACTAACTAAATGAATTCCCTTGTTTCATTAATGTTCGTTCATTATAGTACTTGTATCTATTTAACTTAAAATAACTAAAGACCCCGGGATGGAATTTGTTGCGCATTGGCACAGATGATCATGACATAATACCTTTCAAACAAATGTAGTTTAAGCCGTGATGGACGTGGGTGCAGCGTCGATACATTTTTGCCCAGTGTCCTTTATCCTTGAAAATATGCAAATATTTAGAATACCTAAGGAACTTATAGTACTTAGGTAGCTATGTAGGAAATATAGTATAGTAAGTCATTTTCCTTGCAGGGGTGACTAGAGATTTTTGTTATGTTAAAAGGGTGACAAACAAGCTTATGGCCCGCCTGATGGTATGCGGCCACCATAGCCAATAGACGCTTGCGATACCAAAAATCTTCTACATACCATCGGGAGCCCTGAAACCTTACTCGCCGACAGAAACACAACACCACCAAAACGTAGATAGTATTATTTTATACTATGATTCTGTAAGGTAAAGGTTACTTCCTCAGACGGGTGCTCCAATTCGATCGGAAAATCCACTATGCCTGAACCTCTCTTTTAAAAAAAGCGTTCTTCAAAGTTGAGATGAAGACCAACTTCTACCTTCTTCTTGTACAGTAATAGGTATATCGTTCCCATACTGCCACTCCTCAACGACGTTAAATGCAGTATTAAGTTTTACATAAATATTTTCAGCAATACACCAGCAAAGTAAAAGAATTTGTGTGTTTTATTTTGGTGCAGTAAATTCAAGGAACTTAATATATCTAGAATATATATATATATGAAAACAAAAACTTTACCCTATTGTGAAGGCGTTTCGCTGTCAACAATTGTTACCGCCTACGGGCAAGGGCGGTTCTGCCCTATAGCTATAAGGCGGGCGGGCGTACTAGACGCGGCACTCGCACCGCAACGATGAAGCCAGCCGCTTGCACTGCCGCCGTGCTTGCCATCCTTCTGGCCGGTCAGTTTTTAAAAAGTTAAACTACTTTTTTTAATTTTAATGTACAAACTATTTACGCCTTTGGAAAATTCGCGCCATTTACTTGCCCGATTCTTTTTTTAAGGTGCTGTTCTATTATTGAAGTTATATCCTTGTTGACTTAATTGCCTTCTTATTTTTTTATCACAATTCCGTTTTTTTTTTCTATTTGTACGAGTGTCGCGGGCACAGGTAAGTATTTTATTCTAAATCTTTTACTCTTCTGGAATAGGCAATTTTGAAAATATTTGGTAAAACAATCAGAAATACTCTTTTCTCTTCATTAGTAATTTAATTACAATACTTTATTTAATCAGTAGACAATCTACCAAATTTTCATATTGGTCTTATTAAAAAGGTACCTGTATGAATTTGATTACTTTAACAGTACCTGAAGTTTACTTATCTCCACATGGCCTTGTGCAAAAGTTGTAAGCTAAACCACCTGTTGGGCGGAAAACGTTGGAGGTGACCGAAATAATATATCGCATTTTCTTCAACCTAATATCATTTTTTAAAGAAATCAATGCAACCATTGGATCAAAAACTATAAAAAAACAATATTAAGACATTCGTCAACCAGAAATCCATAAATTCATATGCAACAGAAATTAATAGCCAATATGTAAATAGTGTATTTTTTATGTCGTTAATTAGTCAGCATATTAAGAATTTTTTGAAGTAGTCGCTTATTGACCAAAATTCGAAGTATATAATAAATATATTATTATTAAAATATATTACGATATTTTTTTTCTGCCAAAGAGTGATGAAGAGCGATGAATGATGATTGTAGTGTGGTCAAACGAATTGTAGTGTATATAATATCAACATTTTTTTTTTAATTTTATTTATAAAATATTAGTTTTCTTGCATTATACCATACAAACTTATTAATTGTGACAAATCTGCAGCTTCTGTGTGCAAAATATTTTTAAATGGATAATTAAAGTTTTTCCTTCACTTTATCTTACTAATCGTACTTACTTAATTTATGACTGACATATTTTGCACATATTGTGCTTGTATCCTCATAAAATTAAATTATTTACTTAGGTACTTAGCCTCATTTATAATGTGTATGTATACTAGCCGGCTTTTACAGTATTCTCATATTTATATTTTTAAGAAAAATAACGGCTGCATAAAGTTTTAATTAGTGTTTTCAAGGACATCAGGATTTCATTCGATCTCATTATTGCAGTCATTCTTCAGTTTCAATTCAATTGAACCTATAATTAAAAATTCCTTTATAAATATGAAACTAAAGCTGTTGCCCTTGTTTTCGTCGGTTTATAATAATACGTTTCCCAGACATACCCTTATTCCTCATTGGGCGCCCTTACAGTTTTCTATTTTCGACCAAATGTAATCTGATATCCTTCGCCACAGTCAGACTTTACCAAAAAAAAAATCAGTGAAATAAAAATAATGAAACGTAATATTTCGTCTGTTCAAGGCGTTAAAGTAAGGGTTGTAACTTTGTATGGTCAATACTTTTTGTTTTTTAGAGGAACCTTTCTTAATTGACAAAGGGTTTTCTCTTTTCTCCCAAATCTATATCTTTATCCTGACGCAGTAAAGCTATCTCCTTTTACTTAAACTTATTAGTAGAACATCTTTTACCTTAAGGTAGTTAAATGCTGGTGCCTGAAGTTCTGGGAATTAAATAAATAAATAATAAAATAAATGTTTCCAACACAATTAGCCTAGCTGCAAAGTAAGCACTGTAAGGCTTGTGTTATGGGATACTATGGTAACGGATAGAATACGTTTGTTGTACATATTTAAGTATATTTATATAGAAATTCATATTAAACATCCATGACTGAAGTACAAATGCTTGTATTCATCACACAAATATCTGCCCCCACCGGGATTCGAACCCGGAACCTCTCGAGTCGGTGACACCATGAAACCCGGCGTACAAACCACTCGGCCACGGAGGTCGTCAATTCTGAAAACTAATGCATCTTGATGGCTACAAAACGTTACTAAAACAGCGTGTACATCTAAGTACACGCACATTACATTACATAATTATTTTTTTAAAGATTAAATTAGTCTACAACAAAGGGTGCCGAGGGTGGGTCAGTCTTTAATATTGCTGAGTCATGATTCCTTTAAAATATTTACCTAAATGTGTAAAGCTCCCGTCATGTTTCTGAAAACAAATTTCGCTTTTGTTACTCTGAAAACATAACGAGAACACATATAGCATGATATTATTGAAAATGAGTTTGTTGTTTCAAGCTACGAGTTTGAAAATGTTGCTTTATTAGATAAAACTCAGAAGCAGATTGTAGAAGTAAGATTTATCTATTGTTCTGAAGAGACACTGTCTTGAAAGCATTCGTTAGGTACATTATTTTTTTTTAAGTATGTGTACATAAGAAGTCTAGTGAGTCAGTCCTAGTCTCCATGTTCCATCCATAGGGTAAGCCTGTGCCACAGCAGTGGGAACATTAATAGGCTGGTGATGATGAGTGGTAATGATGTGTACGTAGATAGGTGTACAATACAAGGAGCACAAATTAATTACCATAATGCTAAGTGTGGGTGGGGCGAAGATAGCTAATGCGGCAGAAAAATGTGGCACTATAAACACCAACACCACAGTGTTATTTCACTCTCGTGTTCTCTGAAAGGTAACCATGACGGGAGTTCAAATCGAGCGGAAAATCCTGGGTCTATCTTTTATCGCAGAACTTTTAATATCATTATATTGTTACGCGCATCTGCGGATGCCATCATCTTCATTTTGCAGAAAATCATGTGACATTCACTCATTTAGCAGTTTACAAAAACTCATAATTTTATAAGATAGGATCATTTAGCCATAAGTTTGCAAAATTTAAACGTAAAAGCCTTAAAATTTTCTTATTAAGAACATTTTGCCTAGTCTTTTACTTATTCCAAATGAATTCCGGAGCAACAAGATTCTGCCAGCTAGAGGGAACCTGAAAATACCTATCTCTTGTCAACTTAGAGCATAATATACCAATGCTCTAAGCTCGTCAATATAGTAGTATGAACCCATCGCTTTGAATTAGTTTTCAAAACTATCATGTAATTATGTTTTTACTATCTGCACGGAAAACTTAGACGCTGGCGAATATTTTGACTTTTTCATGCAGTCTGGACTCCTAAACTGAAAATGGGTTGGTATATACAAGGTATAGATTCATATTGAAAAAAATATTTTACTTTAATTACCTATACCAGACCTCTTGAAATGATTTTGAAATTAATGTATGCTTTCCGCAAAATGTTGCTTTCGGTAATGCACTCGCGTCATTACCATTCATTTTGTCTATTAGTTCTGTATATCTATGCATCTATCTTATTCTGCCAGCTAATTGGAGTCTGAAACCAACAAACTTCATGGTACCTATATTATCGTTTGTCCTTTCAGTTAAGATTACGCCTCTTTATTCTATTATTCTGCTCATTGACCGGTTACAGAGTGACTTTCTCACAATCTCAACACAATATGTTTTAAATACAATTTTAATATGATCGGTATGCGAGTGTATATTAAAATTTTACAAAAGTCCTTTCCCTTTTTAAAATATTCTGGCAGAGTTAAATTTACATATTATTTAGATCACATTATTTAACATGCTGAAGCATTAAATATGACGTCTCTGATTGTAAAATATATACAAATAAAAATGTCGATAAATCGCTGTTCATAATATCAATATCAACATCATCATCAGCCTAATAATGTCCCCACCGCAGCGAGGCACAGGCCTTCCCTTTGGATGGAATAGGGAGATTTAGGCCGTGACACACCTAGTGGCCCAGTGTGGCGAACGACTGTGTGCCTTCCGAAGTACGGAGGAGCTGGAAATATTCAGTTTTTGATCCCCTATCCATTGACCGACCATTGCGAAAGTTGCTTAACTTCGACGATCGCAAACCGAACGCGTTAACCGGCTACGCCATCGAGCTCCTCGATATCATAAGTTTTATATCTATATTATTCTATTGCTTTGGTCAGGCTACGATACTGGCTTTTTAGCTTTAAAAATGACACACGTAATTTTTCTTCGTTCTATCTCAAATGAATCTATATACCGTTTTTCAGTCATCTGTTTCCATTACTCCAACTTTATCTAGTCACCTAGACGGGTTTCGCATTATATCACAGCTTTTCTATAAAAAATATAGGATTCGAATTTGTTGATTAGACTCATTTAGATATAAATTATCGATGACCGCAATAATTGATGTGTCTGTTTATAGTCATTTTTATTCTGGACTCCACCTACACTTTACATCCATTGTTGTATTTGGGTAATAAAAATGCTAACCAACTCCAAATGTGGCTATAGAAACCTGTAGCCTTTGAAGTATTGAGATGTCGGAAGGTGTGACGCACATTTGATGCTCTGCTTACCCCGCATGTATGCATAGTTATGTTTTTTATTTATTATATAAAATACCGCAGAACTACTAGGTTATTTCATTTTAACTAATATACTTACCTAATTCATAAAAAGAACAATTAAACTTTTTGTCCACCAAAAAAGACTAGAAGGTTAATAAGATATTATTAAAAAAAACAATTAAAATAAGTATATTTTCTTAACGGATATTTATTTTCTTTGTGATTGTTCTCGTCCCTATTTCTAGGTATTCCGGGCGGCTTCACAATCTCTTATCTTTATAATTAGTTAATTTTGTAATTAAGAATAATTTCCCTCTCAGTTATTACAATTTGATGAACGGAAGCGCTTTCTGTGGGCCGTACGTAACACTGCATTTTCTTTTATAAGTACAAAAGAAACCGAAATAATTTTTACAAAGAGATTCGGATATGTTTTTAATACAGTTTGTTTTAGAAAGTCCGCTTCCCCCTTTCTTTCCTGATACTGGAATAGAAGTAAAAAAAATTTTTTTTTAAAGGGTGTCGGGATCGAGAAGCTTCACAAAAAGCAGTTTTGTTTTTCTTGTTAAAAATTGTGTTGTGGCGG